TGTTAAGAATAATATAGGGTCAGCAAATTTCATAATATCTAATTAAGGTAAATTTATCAGAAAAGCTCAATATTTTTTACATTTTTATTATAATAGAGCACTTAAATAAAAATTATAGTAATCATTTCTAATTAACTTTTGATGTTTAAGAAGATTCTACAATGGAAATATTTAGAATTTAATTAATTTTAATGATTATATATCTAAAAAAAAAAAATTTAAAAAAAGTTGTTTAAAAGATTTACTCAATTGAGTGTATTATAAAATTTGATTATAATTGCAAAAATCCATCATTAAATTCAGGTAAAACTAAAAATCATTTATTTTTTAAATTTATGATTTATATAGCAACATGTTACAAAAAAATTATACACTCGTAGTAGCACATATAAATGGAGTTAAATATTAATAAATTACAAAGTAAAATGATTTACTTTTGTAGTTGAATACTTTTATCATATCAAATCTAATTCGACAATAAATACTTTAAGAATATTAGAAATATATGATTTTAATTGTGTGTATGAAAAAAGTTGGTTAAGCTACTTTTTATTTGAATAAGGAATATTTTTTCGATTTTTAAGAGTAATAACTTAAACTAATCATTAACTTAAATATCATAAACTTAAATGAATCATTTGACGTATCGTTGAAAAAAGTAGGTCTAGTGAGGGTTGGCAAAATAAATCGTAGCTACAAAAAGAATCACATAGTAAAATAATATTAACATGAATATAAATTTCTTCTCAAGAGGGGAGACTACAGTGATAGGATCCTTTATATTTATTGAAGTTAATGAATCTAAATGAGATAAATATCAAATGATTTGAAAATTTTATTCTAATTCATAAAAAATGCAAAATATTAATAGTCACAGTCGGATTTGAACCTCGTACCGTAAGCATGAAAGATTCAAGTATTACCGACTCGGCAACTGTTCGTCGCTTTCATCGCACGACAAAAGATATTTTAAAATAAAATAAAAAACCCAGAATTTTAACACAAAAATAGCATATTTTTGAATATGGTAGCCATTTGCGCTAGAAGATAGATCGTCGGGACAAATTTTTTTTTTATTTTATAGTACATAAAATAAGCTTTAATTTGGTAAATGTTTAAAAGACGCAGTATTTCTGGAACATTTTCAAAAATTAAGTTGAAAAAGTTATTTTTTGTAAAAAAGTTGTTATTTTAAATTCTTCCCCAATGAGCAGGTTCAGTGTTAGATTTTCAAAAAAAATGATATCAAATAAAAGGGAAATATCTAAGGTTTCAATTAATGAGTATCCAATATATATATATAGTTGAGAACCGCACAGTATATTTATTTAATTATATAGATATACGGACAAAATTGATCACCGCGGTCAAGTCACAAAACAATGTAGAGCCAATATATATGTTATTATATTATTCGCATAAATATACTTTCACACAATAAGTTGTGCTTAGGTATAATCGAACACCGCAGTCAAGTCGGAAAAACAATGCAGAGAAAATATATATATATATAACCAAAAAAAGACACCAGTTATCGTGTACGTCGGAAACGGAACAGACCGCAAAATCAGTCATCCGTATTCGGCGGCGGCCTTATCTCGGTGTCAAGANAATCCATATTCGGCGGCGGCCTTATCTCAGTGTCAAGGGCGGGGTGACGACCGATGACAACCGATTGTCATATTAATAGCTGGACGGCTGATATCGAGAGAGACACGGGTGAGCGCCAACCTAGAGCAAAAGGCGGTGCCGTGTCACAATATAAAAAATATTATTTTTNTATCTAAGGTTTTAGTTTAAAAAAAAATTATGTTGATTTGTTTATTTTTGAAAAAGTTATAGAAGTTTTAAGAAAAAAAAGTGAAAAAAATGACAAAATTTACCGATTTTTAAATTTGTAATTTTTTTGGATATTTCCCCCATTTGCAAGAAACGAGGGAAAATTTTTCAATTTTTAATGGTAATGTCTTCAACTAGATACGATTTGTGATCTTTTGACGTATTGTTGAAAGAAATCGGTCAAGTGATAGCTGAGAAAATAAATGATAGTCACAAAAAGATATCTTCTCAGCTTTGCATCGAAGCTAAAAAATGAAAAAATATAGAACATTAGCGATTTTTAAATATGTAATTTTTTGGGGGATTTCCCCCGTTTATGGGGATTGAATGATTTTTTTTCAATTTTTGAGGGTAATTTTTGAGTCTTCAACTAGATACGATTTGTGATCTTTTGACATATTTTTCATCAAAATCGGTTCAGTGAGAGCTGAGATTGAGCGTATACAGACACAAAAAAATAAAACAAATCATAGTAAAATTAATACCTTTTCAGCTTCGCATCGAAACTAAAATGGTATTGTTCCGGGAAGTCTGACACTTTTATATATATTTTAAATTAAATCTAATGTAATATACTTCATTATAGTAAAAAAAATTTCGGACATTATTTTATCTTCACGGTGAAAACAGACATCAAAGTTAATAAAAAATATACGATTTTTGTAAAATAATTTTAGCTTCGATGCGAAGCTGAGAAGGTATTGGTTTTACTATGATGTGTTTTTTTTTTTGTGTCTGTTACCACTTTTTCTCAGCTCTCACCGAACGGATTTCTTTCAACGATACGCCAAAAAATTTCCCTCGTTCCCCGTAAATGGGGGAAACCTCCAAAAAAATTACAAATTTAAAAATCGCTAATTTTCGAAATTTTTTCAATTTTTTTTACTAAAAACTGCCGTAACTTTTTCAAAAATGAACATATCAATATAATTTTTTTTATAGATGCTAGATGTGTTTACCTATTATTTGGTATATTTTTTTTGTAAATTTGACCTTTTTTCTGCCCACAGGGGGGGATTTAAAATGACAACTTTTTCATAAAAAATTAACTTTTTCAACTTAACTTTTGAAAATGTTCCGAAAGGTTTGATACTTTTATATATATCTTAAATTAAAGCTAATGTAATGTACATTAATTTGAAAAAAAAAAAATTTGACCTCTGGACTTCATGGTGAAAACGGCTACCGAATGCTATTTTCGTGTGAAAATTCTCGATTTTATTATTCATATCATTTTTAACATTATAATGCTATAACTTATTGAAAAGTGTATTGATCAATATAATTTTTTTATGGGAAATACTATTTTCTAATAATCTCTTTTTTATTCTACATACTTTGTCTTAATCAGGATATTAATAAGGAACTAGCAGATCAAGTAGCTTTTGGAATAAAACACCAATTTTTTTTAAATTAAACACTATCTAAAGATTTGCATCGAAGCGTTTATTTTGATAGTGATTTTAATCACTGTCAGATATCATTATACTTGATCCAACTATGCCACGTCACCACTGTACCGCGACCCACCTGTGCTGGGTTTTTTTTTTATATTTTTAACTTAATAATGCTCTAACTTTTTCAAAAATGAACATTTCAGTATAATTTTTTTTTTATAAAGATGCTTGATGTCTTTACTTATCATTTGGTATATTTTTTTGTAAATTTGACCTTTTTTCTGCTCACAAGGGGGATTTAAAATGACAACTTTTTCACAAAACATTAGTTTTTTCAACTTGACTTTTGAAAATGTTCCGGAAAGTCTAACACTTTTATATATATCTTAAAATAACGTTAATGTAATATACTTTATCATGGAAAAAAAAAATTTCGGACTTTATTTTATCTTCACGGTGTAAATAGCTACCGAATGCTATTATTGTGTGAAAATTCTCGATTTTATTTTTTACATTTTTAACATTATAATGCTATAACCAGGGTTCGGGACTTATAGCATTTGCATATTTTTTTTATTTATTGTAAAATGTAGCAGAGTGCGGAATAAATTCATTTCTCAATACCGTTATACAAAATCGAAAATTTGAATGTGCATATTTTTGCATATTTTACAGCTTTTGCAGAAAAGTGCTTATTTTAACGTTTTTGTGCTTATTTTGCATATTTTGGAAAATTATTAAAATTTTCAAATTTACTAATGTTAACCAATCAAAAAGAGAAATAATAATGCAGTCTTATGTACTATTTGCAATATACAAGTCACAATCCCTTTTAATTTTCGTGTTGGAAAAATATCTTCATTTTTAAAAAGTATGAAGGCCCATATTGTTTGTATCGCTACATATAAGATTTGTTACGATACGGGCGATACGACAATTATATAATATAACATATTTATAAAATGTTCTGTGAAACTAAAGGTATTCCCGGTAAATATAGTTCGGACGGCTAGCGCCGATAAGGCGATAATAGTTATTTAGGTAATAATTTCGATTATTTGTTCAGTCCGCAACGTTTATCCGTTGCCGTGAATTCACTTGCGTGCTTATTATCGCGTTACATTTTTTCATAAACATAATATACTAAAAATGGGGAAAGTAAAACAATCCACTAGTGCCCGTTTGAGAAACTATGTGTCTGAATTTGGATCTGAAATATTATCTACTAATGGGTTTGTATTATTTTGCAAAGTTTGTGAAATAAAGATTAATTTTGAAAAAAACTTTAACGTAAGCCAACACATACGAACTAAAAAATACATTAAAAGTGCCAAACGCCAAAAAGATCAAGTTCAAAGGAAATCACAACAACTTTTAACCAATCAATCTACCAAATCAGATTTTAATAAGGATTTATGCGAAGCAATGGTGGCCGCGAACATACCGTTTAATAAACTTTCAAATAATATATTTCGTTCATTTTTCGAAAAATATACGGGTAAAAGTATTCCATTTGAAGCTTCCTTACGAAAAGGATATATTGACGACATCTACAACCAAGTAATGAATAAAATTAGAGTTGAAATTGGAAAAAATCAAATTTGGGTGTCAGTTGATGAAACATATGACGTACAAGGACGATGTGTGGCAAATGTTATTGTTGCCATTCTTAAGCCAGATTGTGTTGGTCTTTCATTTCTTCTGCACTCGGAAGAGTTAGAAAAAACAAATCATAATACTATTTGTAAAGTTTTTAATAAATCAATGACCATTTTATGGCCTAGAGATATTATGTACAACAACGTCTTACTATTCTTATCCGACACAGCTCCTTACATGGTGAAGGCCGGTTCAGTTCTTAAAAATTTATACACCAAAATGATACACACCACCTGCAGTGCACACGTACTTCATCGGATAGCTGAAGAAATTCGTGGACAATTTAATCTTGTTGACGAGCTTATATCAAATATGAAAAAAAATTTTCGTAAAGCCTCATACCGTATTGCATTGTTTAAATCGATAGCTCCAGAAATTAGATTACCGCCAGAACCTATCTTAACGCGTTGGGAGACATGGCTCGAAGCCGCAATTTATTACTGTGAAAATTTCCAAATAATATGTAGCGTAATAAATGCCCTAGACGAAAATGATGCAGATTGTATTATAAAAGTTAAATTATGCATACTGAAACCAGGATTGGAAAACAACTTGACTTATATAAAAAGTAATATTCAAGTTATTACAATGGCCATTGTGAAATTACAAACGAAAAACCTTCCATTGGCTGATTCACTTTCTGTAATTCAAGAAGTAAAATCAAAATTTCAATCATTAAAAGGAACTCAAGGAAAAGCAGTACTTTTAAAACTACAAAAAGTTTTTGAAAAGAATAAAGGTCTTAAAATTCTGGAAAAAATATCAAACAGTTTGGAAGAAGAAGATGAAATTTTGGATATGAGTCAATTTCCGGAAGATTATTCATGCAACGAATTTGTGTTCTTTAAATATGCACCAACCACTTCAGTGGATGTAGAGAGGTCATTTTCAGCTTACAAAACTCTGTTATCTGACAATCGAAGAGCATTTATATTTAAAAATTGAGGAAACATTTAATTATTCAATGTAACAACAAAGGTATGACAATAATTAAAACAATATTATTTATTGATTGATTTAAATGAAAAATTCAATTTTTAATTTTCCTATTATTTAAAGCTAACGAATAAATTTAAAAAAAATTGGAAATTTAAGAAGCAAGTGAAAAATTATTTAATTTTATTAAAATATTTTAATGTTAAACTAATTGTAATGAATAATTATTAATAAAATAATAAATATATTAAATGTATATTTTTTAATTTTTTATGCAAATTCTACGGTTTTTAAGTGCATATTTTTTTATTTTTTATGCATATTTTACGGTTTTTAAGTACATATTTTAGAGCTTATTATTGTGTTTTTAAGTGCTAAAAGTCCCGAACCCTGGCTATAACTAATTGAAAAGTGTTTGGATCAACACAATTTTTTTATGAGAAATAATATTTATATCCCTTTCTTATTCGATATACTTTATCTTAATCGGGATATTAATAAGGAACTAGCAGATCATGTAGCTTTTGGAATAATCCACTAATTTTTTAAAATTAAACACTATCTAAAGATTTGCATCGAAGCGTTTTTTTTTATAATGATTTTAATCACTGTCAGATATCATTATACTTGATCCAACTATGCCACGTCGACACTGTGCCGTGACCCCCCTGTGCTGGGTTTTTTAAACTATATTTATTTTATAAATAATTTAGTATCATTTATGTTTATTGTAATTTTTTTATGCTGTTTTTATCTTGTTTTTGTGAAGTCAAGATAGATGCCTTAACCATTTTTAGTTTAATATCTGCAGAGATAAAAAATTTGTTATCAAAAAATGTTAAAGCTATATTCTAAGTGATAAATACCATAATTACCCTGAACATTTCTGTGTTGCAGCTTTAGATTTAAAAGAATCAGGGTAATTAATTAAAATTTTTCAGAAACATAAAGCATTAAATGGTAATTGTATGGCGATAGATTCCTTAATCCAAACCTCGACATAAACTTTTACTATAAATACACAAATATCACGAATGCATCTTCTTCTCGTGCTTTAAGCTTTAACTGTTTTCTGAACATATATATAATGTTCATCAATTCTTGATTAAATAACTAATTGCAATAAAATTGTTGCTAAAAGAAAAGTATCAGATTTTTATTAATATTATGTACAAGCTATTTACAATTTTACTCACCTAAAAGAAAAGTATCAGAAACAATATTTTATGCTATTAATTATTACAACAATTATTAATATTTTATATAAAGATTTGATTTTTAAAATAGATAAATTATATTACAATACATTTTTAATTTTATAGAGGTTAATGATAAAACTCATGTTTTTCACCTAACATGAACACCGACCATTATGCCATCTAGTGGACCTGATCGGTGTTCAAAACATAAGAAAAAGTAATCGTTTTTCTTACATCTCCTCCCTTTTAGAAACAATTACAGCAAGTTATGTAATTGTTATGTAATTTCAAAACACTGGAGTTAGTTTTGTAATGTGGTATAAGTTTGATTCCGCTTTCTTGTGTCCAGTGTCAACCTCATATATAGAATTTGAGATTCTCTTTTGGATTGTGTATGGTCCAATTCTTAATTCTTCTAATTTTTTTCTATTAAGTCGATTTCCATTTTCCACGTAGACTTTGTCACCTACTTTGAATTTATGGTCTTCCCTATGCAAGTCGAATATTTTTTTATTATAATTGTGTGATTTTATTGTGTTTTTAAGAGCTAGTTTTCTGTCTCTTTTCAAGTCTTCTTTTGTACTAATTGACTTCAATTCAAGTGGTAGAACATTTACATTTTCCCCTTCCAGTAAATATTTTGGAGCAAACTTTGTGACGGTGTGTTCCGTTTCATTATATTTTTCTACACATTTTTGTGCAATAGTAGTCCACGCCTTTCTCTTATAATTTTCATTTATTATACATCTTATTTTATTGACTAGAGTTTGATTCAGCCTTTCATTGAGTCCATTTGAAAATGGTGAATCTACAGCAGTGAAAATCATTTTTATATTTTCTTTTTCTAAAAATTGTTTAAATTCTTTGCAATTTATACCAGGATATTGGTCCGTCAGAAGCATATCAATAGTGTAGTCTTTTTTCACATTTTTTATTAGTCTTATGAAATCACTGGAGTTTTGATTTTTCGATGTACTAATATAAGCATACCTTGTGAAATGATCCACCAAGAGGTGCAGATATTTCTTCGTTGACCTTGACCCTCCAAATCCTCCGATGGTGTCTATAGATATTATTTCAAATGGGCGTGTTGCTGGACCTAAATGTGACATTAAACCACATTTAGGTTTCCTCCTTGATTTATTTTTTATGCAGACTTCACATTCATTACAAATTTTTTTTATGTTTTTGATGATATTTTTGGCAGTGTAGAATGGTGTTATTTTATTTGTCATCTGAGTTGTTCCTATGTGGCAGTAGGTATTGTGGACATTTTTAATTAGTGTTTTGCTGAGCTGTTCTGATAGTACAATTTTCTCTCTTCTTTTATTTTTTTTATAGTAAATTTCATTCTCTAATACAAATTTTCTACTTTGTATATCTAAATTTGTATGTTGGTCCTTTTTTATATCTTCTATGTTTATTAAGTTTACCACTTTTAGAAAATCATCAATATTTTCAAAGGGTTCTAAAACCGGATTTCGACTTAAACAATCCGCCTCTTGATTTGATTTTCCTGGATTATATTTTATTTTGAAATTATATTGGGATAAATAATACATTAAATCTCCCAATTCTTCGTCCGTTCTTGCCTTGATGTTCATATTTTCTAATGGTTTATGGTCCGAGTGGACTGTAAATTCTTTTCCCATAAGCCAATGTTGCCAGTATTTGATGGATTCTTTTATTGCCAGACATTCCAGATATATTGCTTTTTTCTTCTTTTGAGCTTCAGTTAATTTTTTAGAAAAGTATGCAACGGGCTTACTGTTCCCATTTTTATCTTCTTGTTTCAACACTGCTCCTACTCCTTTTATACTGGCATCTGTGTAAATGTTTATCGGTAGTTCAGGATCAAAAATTTTTAAGAGTGGTTGTGAACATAGCATTTCCTTTATTTTATCAAATGATTCCTGACATTCTGAGGACCATACAAATTTCATATTTTTTCGCAATAAATTATGTAAAGGGTTTAAAATAATTGTACTGTGTGGTATAAATTTATGATGAAAATTTATTTTTCCTAAGAATTGGCGTATGTTTTTTCTTGTTTCTGGGATTGGAAAGTTTTTGACAGCAGTTAAATAATCTTTCAGAGGTCTGATTGAATTGTCTTCTATTATGTGACCTAAGTATTTTGCATAATTATTTGCAAAAGAACACTTTGAAAATTTTAGTCTAAAACCTTCTGTTTGGATTGCTTCCAGTAGTCTTGATAGATGTAGTATATGTTCTTCAAAAGTTTTTGAAAAAACTAGTATATCATCTATAAAATTTACTGCAAAATTGCAAAGTTTGTATTTTCTTATGATGTTGCTCAATATTCTTTGGAAAATGGCTGGTGCCGTTTTTAATCCAAATGGGAGACATGTCCATTGGAAATGGCCTTGTTGTGTAACAAATGCAGTTTTTTGTTTATCTTGAATTTTTAAAGGAATTGACCAAAATGCTGAATTTATGTCTAGAGTAGAATAATATTTACAGTTTACAGTTTTAACTAATAAATCTTCAATCAATGGGAATGGTTGTGATTGAGGGATAATAATTTTATTTAGTTCTCTGAAATCTATACAAAGTCTTGTTTTTTCTCCATCTTCTTTTTTATATGCCAGAGTTACTGGGGCGGCAAAAGGACTATAAGATTCTTCAATTAAATTTTTGTCAAGTAATTTTGATATTTGGTTTTCTATTTGTCTTCTATCGCCTTCTGTGCATCTGTATGGGCGTTTATAGCAGTATTTATCAACCATTAAATCAATATGAGCTTCATAATGTTTTACTGTACCGACATCGTATTTATCTTTGGCGAAAACTGTTTTAAATTTTTCTACTAATTTTTCAATTTCTAATGTTTGATTTAAGTCTAAATGGTTAATAATCATTTCAAATTCATTTGTATCTATATGTTCATTGAAATTTATTTCACATTTATTAACATATTTAGTTTCTTGTTTCTCAGAATGTACAAAAAAACTTTCTTCACCTAGTACATTAGGAATATTAATATTTTTTAAATTTGAAGTATCATCTACAATTGATCTTTCCTCTTTTTTTTTTTTTTTTTCTTGATCATTACATTGTATTATTTCTAATTTTTCATTTTGCATTAATTTGAAATTTTTAATACAATCTAGACCAATTAGAAAATCATAGTTAAAATTTTCATTATCTATTATAAATACATCCATAATTTTTTCTAAATTGTAAATTTTTATTTTAAGTGTTACCATACCTTTTGTTTTCTTTTCACCATTAATAGTTTTCAAGTTGACTATTTGTTTATTATTTGTATATGATTTTGGCTGTATTTTAAGTAGTTTTGCATTAATTAATGAAACATTTGAACCTGAATCATAAATTCCAGAGATATTTAAAGTATTATTTATTAGCAACTTGACTTTTATTAATGGCGGTGCTTCTAGTTTTTTGGATTTTTTTCATTTAGTTCAATTTCCAGTTCAGAGTTATTAACAGTTTTTACAAATGTTTTCTTGTTTTTTTCTTTAAACCAGCAATTTTCCTCCAGATGATAACGTTTCCCCTTTTTTTCATTAATACAGATTCGGCAAGGTTTTTTCTCTTCAATCTGTTTAAATTTGGTGTCAGAAAATATGTTTCTTTTTTCATACTTATTTTTTTCTGCAAAATGTTCCAGTTTTCCTATTTCATTGTAAAGATCTTCTGTACCTGTCAAATTTTCTCTGTCAATTTTGTCAGCCATATAATTTGGTAAACCAAATGCTATAAGATCTATAAGTGTGCCAGTATCGATTGATTTTCTTACTTCTAGTAACAGTTTCTCTTTTTTTAAAGCGTAATCAAGCAATGATCCTGCTTGATATTTAAAAGCGAGGGCATATCTAATGGGTGACCATCCTTTGTTGGTAAATGTAGTACAAAATTTTTTTTCCCATGTGTCCCACTCTGAATCCACTGTAAATTTTATCAGCATGCAGCTGTACCACTCTGTTCCAGAGCCTTCTAAAAATTGTTTTAAAATCTCAATCTTCTTTTTGTCCTCATTTATTTGAAAACGTTTACATTCCTTATTAAAACTCTCAATCCACTGGTTTGCATTTGAGTTTTTTCCATTGAATTTCTCTAATATGAATTCTTTAGCAATTGCCCCTAAATTTTGAGTTTCAGATTTGTTTTCAAGTAATTTTTCTAAGAGTTTATTTAAAGTTTGATTAGACCCACTTTTTTCTAAAGTTTCTGCTATTTCCTCAAGATAATTATCTTTAAACTGTAAGTTTTGTTCCTTATCTAAATAAATTTTTGACATATCATCCGTCAAAGTTATCCAAATTTTCCTTGTTTGGTATCTTTTTGTTAATGTTTTTCGTACCTGGATGTAATTTGAGGTGGTTGTAATTTCCTTGTGTAGGTTTGCTGGTTGAAATTCTGGTGGCACTCCAAAAATTTTTCCATCAGGTGTAGCTATTGATGTTATGCATATAACATTTGATTTTCCCTCATCTGTCGGTTTTACCGAAAAATCAAATCTTAATTTCTCCATAGTTAAAATATTGTTATATAATGTTCATCAATTCTTGATTAAATAACTAATTGCAATAAAATTATTGCTAAAAGAAAAGTATCAGATTTTTATTAATATTATGTACAAGCTATTTACAATTTTACTCACCTAAAAGAAAAGTATCAGAAACAATATTTTATGCTATTAATTATTACAACAATTATTAATATTTTATATAAAGATTTGATTTTTAAAATAGATAAATTATATTACAATACATTTTTAATTTTATAGAGGTTAATGATAAAACTCATGTTTTTCACCTAACATGAACACCGACCATTATGCCATCTAGTGGACCTGATCGGTGTTCAAAACATAAGAAAAAGTAATCGTTTTTCTTACATATATATTTATAACAAATAAATTGTTTTAGACATCCATATAGCATGATGAAAAGCACCAGAGTAGTGAAATTTTACACCATTAAGGCGTGTTGCACCCAAAAAAATAACATAACTTGAGTAATTCTTTGTAGTAATTTCTAGATTGTTGAGTCATTAATATTTCAAACCAAAAGTTAATTATATTATTTTTGAGAGTGTGCAACTGCATTTTTTATAATTATATTATTAATACCAATATCAAAATTCAACAAATCTAGACTAGTCCAATTTTCTTTAAATTTTTTAAATATTGGTACATCTGGAGCAGTTGTACATAAATTAAGTTTAACCTGAAAACAATTTTTTAGTACTAATTCCAAAATATGTCTTCGACATGGTAATTACAACACAATACGCCATAGGAGTTCTTTAAGCAATATACAAGCGCCATTTAAGCGACCTGTATTTAAAGTTGTTGTGTCGCAACACAGGGACACAACATGTATTTTATCTTTTACATCCCAAACTTATCAAATATATATTATATCATATAGTTGATCGATTGATTATTAACTTTGATACGTTATTACCTAATGCATCAGCAGTAAAAATAATTAAATGCATAGCATCGCGGTCAGATATCTTGCATCGAATTAATGCAGCAAGTAACTTAGGATTCATAAAAGCTATGACTACTATAGCTATAGAACCTCGTGTTTATGAAGAATATAATGAACCAGACAAACCATTTTCTGTTTCACATTCCGGGGAACTAGAAAAATTTAACTCGACAACATTATCTAAACAATTGTACTTATTTTTAAAGAAAATTAAGTGACTCCACCGAACCAGTGGATTCCATTTCTGATTGTGAACGTTTATTTTGTTTTTTTTTTCCTTTTGAGATAACTTGTTAACACGCAACTAGTCTACTTTTGTCTTGGTAACAAGAAAAACGTTTTATCTTCCTAAATTTTCATCATATATAATGCATTAGAATGAAAAATATCAAATAAATCGTTCAACTGTTCCGTATATTGACTGACTTTATTTAGATGTTTATTAGTAAGTCATTTTGACGATTTTTGAAGTTCTTATACATTTGAGTACAATTTTACAAGTAAATACATACAGCGATGTTTTCCTAGTTGGAATTCTAGCCTTATGCCAGTATAATGACACTTCAGCAATAACTAAGCTAGCACTTTTAAGCAAATTTAATTTGATATGTCTTAAGTTGTAAAATAAAAGCTTGTTTATTCGACGGCAATTTACTGCCTACAGTTTATTTTGTAATATGGCCTACTAAATAAATTTCATCTTGCCTACGTAAATTTATGCAGCATGAAGCCATTATAACAATTTATTTGAATGAAATAAAAAATGTTTAGAATGTCAGAGAACACGTATAACAATTTTTTTTTTCTACAAAACTTATAGAAAATTAAATTTTAAACTACTTTTACATAAAAATTTTTTTTTGAAAATTTTGACTTTTAGGAGGTAAATATTTTACTTATGAGTTTTTTACAAATAACTTTTTTTATGTAAAATAATTACATGTATAATTTCTTTTTAATAAACTTTTATGTAAAAAACATATATTTTGAGATAAAGCACAATAACTGAAAAACTAGCCTTTTGATCGAATTTTCAACCCTTTTACGGCACATGTTAACGTCAACCTATCGGGACCAAATTTTGTACAGCTCATTTTTACATGTGGCAAAACAATTTTTTGGTGTGTGTAAATCGAATTTTGAAAAGTTGTATTTTAAGAACTACACTAATATTTATTCTTTATTAGAATTTCCATTTCCATTTAAAATTATTATTATTATGTTTTTATTATCATTATTACTTTTTTTTTCTCTTGTAATTCAGTTCAAAGATATGTAGAATCGGCATATTAGGTAAGATAAACTTTGGAAGTCTTCCTCTTCCAACGCCAGGAGTATGATGGATCTAATGTCAAAGAATTGAGAAAAAATAAAACAACGAACCCAAGTGAGTACCACCGGACGTTGCGTTCATTCAACCTATAAATATATAGTTTAAATAGTACCAATACATATTTTAAGTAATGAGAGTAACAGGTACACACATAATAATATTTTTTATTGGAAACATTTTAGGGGGGGGGGCGATCTAAAGTATCTAATAGGTACTTTAAAGAATGAATAAATAATAATAAATTTTACACCTTTAAATAGAACTATACATTAAATATAGAGTAATTATATAATATAATGGAATTTTTATGCTGCTTGTTCATCATTATGTTTCAAAGTTTGAATAAAAAACTGATACAAGTAGAATTGTTTTTATTACAATTGTTAGAAAGTGTTTTTTTGGTCAAATATTATAAGATTTAATATATTGTATTTTAATCATATTATGAATATTAACACAATTTATTTTTAATCCCACACAAGTAAGTAACGTCAATCAACAGGTAAAAATAATTTTGGATACATTATTTTAAGCGCAAAGATGTAATTTTTTTTTAGTTTTTGAAAATAGAGCGACTCAAGTTTAAAACACTATTTACGTCAATTATTTTCAAAATTGTTGATGAACATACTTTAAATTTACCCCCTCCCCATAAAGTTGATCAAAGACACCTTCGCTATTACAGATAAAAATCAATTTCATTACAAAAGTAGAATTTAATTTTGAACATTTTTAAATGTTAAATATGTTCTAAATTATGCTTAACTCATAAATAATAAATCAAAATTCTACAAAGAGTTTATTGCAAAAACCAGAAATGTCATTTTTTTAAACATTTCTAGAAGACAAATAAAATTTGTTATTCTTTTAACGTTGTAATAAAAATAAGTTCTTAATTATTATTATTTCTACGAAAATATCCAACATTTCTGTTTGATACAGCTGTACGTATAGAATTAAATTTTATCAAATTTAATACGTATTAATTTTCTCTACAAATTTTATTTTATAAAAATGGAAAAAATTATGATTGTATACTAATACAATATCTTTACAATATATTGTAGTGAATTCTTTAATTAAATTTGCTAAGTATTTCAAAATATTTTCATGAATTACTCATGAGAATGAAATATAGGGTAATAATGTAATGATATACATAGTATATCATTAATGTCATAATGTATTATTTAAGACTTCAATCAATCAATTACACAAAATAAAATGTATACCAATAAAAATAAGATACATAGATGTACCTTTTAAATGTTTAAAAATACTAATGAAATTTCGTAGAAAAAGAGCATATATTAATTATATAAAACAAACAGGAAATAATAAACAATATGTAATGGTAGCACATAAGATGTAGGGTAATATAGACTAATAGACTAAATGTCTAAATTGTTATATAAGATATGATAGTATTTTATAATATGTAGATCATTATTGATGAAAATGTAATAAATTACGATTAATAAAGAAATAACGGTGGCGTCGGGGATCACTTCTTGCCTTTGAACTACGATCAAATTTAATATAAAAATTCAAAAATAAAGAGCATTCTGAAACAGATGCAGTCAGATATTCATAGAGGCACTCACTATGCTCGTTCATTCCAAATAACGAAATACATGCAAGAAGTGATCCGCCGTCAACACAATTATATTTGTACAAAAAACATAATATCTATTTTTTTATTTAAGAGTATCGCAGAAAATATCAAGGTAAGAATCTAATAAATTCACCAAAAATAAATAAGGTTTAGAATTAAATTTTATGAGTACATAGATTAAGTAGACATACAGGAAAATCAAGTGATTATCAATAATAATAAATATACCAAGTAAATTTAATGAATCAATAATGTTTGTACAGAGTTATATCGTTAATACGTGTCTATTTCAGAAGTTAGGTTGGAAGTTCATATGTATAGCCACCATACCACTCTGAGTAGACACACGAAGTGACTCAATCCCACCTATCATCGATAACCGTCAAAACTCGTGGCATTATCGATATTTAAAAAATTGACAATTAATTATAATGAATCTCATATTAATAAAATAAAGATCACTTTATTTTTCTATCGTCTTCTATCTTTCTTACAGACCCTCGTACTCATATCCCGAGTAATAATATTATTAATACAATAAAGTAGTGGATCAAATAAGAATCCAAATCCCGTCATATTCTATTTAATTTATTTCTTTTAAGTAATTTTCAAAGTGCACTCTAAATTAGTACAAGTAATAACACCCCCTTTTTAAATTACAAAACAATATTTTAATATTTTCTTTTTTTGATTCACTACAATAAATAAAAACTTCATCACATCAGTTATACAGTATCAATTGTAATTAACAACATAAATGAGACACATCAGCTAATTTGGGAATAAATTCAAAATTTAAATTGAATTATTTGTATTTAGGAGTGAAATTGAAAAAAAATTATTTGCTAATTTAACCAAAAATTATATTTCTGACGAAACTACTCATAATGCTTCTACGGAATTTATGAAGTAGAAACAAATCTATTTTACCTTTATTTTTATTTTTTCAAAATTTGTGTTTTCATGCTTATTTCAAAAGTATTTGAAAAAATTAGCAATAAAAAATGGTTTGAAGTTAGATTTTTGTTAAATTGAAAACTAATAATATCTAAAAAAAATTGTCTTTTTTACCATTATTCAATACGTATTTTTTCGTAAAATTTTAGTAAAAAAAAGTTTTATGTAGCACAGTGGGGTCGCGGCATAGTGGAGACATTGCATAGTTGGGTTCAGTATAGATTTAATCTGACAGTGATTAAAATCACTATCATAAGAAACGCTTCGATGCAAATCTGTAGATAGTGTTTAATTTTAAAAAATTGATGGATAATTGCAAAAGCAACATCAACTTCTATTAAAATAAAATACAAAACCCATAATTATCATACAAAAATAGTATATTTTTCAATATG